AGAGGTGGTTGGGTGAGCGGGAGGAGGGAAGGGGGGGGGGCGGTACCTCCATGGCGCTAATTTATATTTCTAACACTCACAGAACAAATCATATTGGCAAAAAGGTTCTTATATATATGTGAATGAGGTGGTAAAAATGGCGGTGGGCGGTTCAATGATGTGTTCTGTTGATATATTTGGCGCCAGGTTTTTTTGTTGTTGTTGTTAACTGGCGTCATTATCCGCCTCCACTGATTGGTTGAAGCTGACCAATGGGGATTCATCTTCAGCATGTTGGTGTTTGAGGCCAGATTGTAGAGCCACAGTATCGGCCAAAGTTAGCTTGTAATAATAACCAGGATGGACTCCCCAGGTAATAATTGGTTGCAGGAAAGTTACGACACATATTTTCGGACAACAATGAGAATTCTAAATGCTAAATAACGGTAAATTATCTCATACTCGACCAAAAACTTGTCAAGGGTTTAACGTCACTGTGTATAAAAAACAAAAATGCTTTTAGTTTTTTTTCTGGTATTAACTAGCAGTATGTCATCAAGCACAACACACTATGCATTACAACGATACTTTAATCACTTTGTATCCCGCTATAAATTAAGGATATTTACATAATGCACAACAAAATATGGCAATACTGCAAAAAGTGGGCGTTCCCAAATGACGTCATAGAACAAGTGACGAGGGAGAAGCGTCCAGGAGTGTGCAGGTAAAGGCTGGGTTAGAGGCCCTAAATTCACAACTTTATCAATAATTAAAGCCATGATGGGTATTTCCTGGCGTTTAAAAGGACATTTTCTAATACCTACAGCCTCGTGCCGTCACCACAGCTCCGAGTAAACAAAAAATTGGTCAGCACGATTTGGGGATTGTTGGAGAAAATCCTAATCTAACCTAACCTAACCTATCAAAGCCTAGTCTTCCTAACCTAACCGAGCCTACCTAACCTAACCTAACCTATCAAAGCCTAGTCTTCCTAACCTAACCTAACCTATCAAAGCCTAGTCTTCCTAACCTAACCGAGCCTACCTAACCTAACCTAACCTAACGTAACCTAACGTAACCTAACGTAACCTAACCTAACCTAACCTAACCTAACCTAACCTAACCTAACCTAACCTAACCTAACCTAACTGCAATTTTGTCCAATGTTCGTTAAATAAGTTAAGGTCCAGTCGGAATTTATCTCGTATAACATTCTGTCCAATGGAATTTCATATAATGAGATTCAGTCCAGTGAGATTTTGTTCAATGGTCTGAAGTGGAGGTGTTTTGTCCAGTGAGTACCTGTCCAGTTACTATCTGTCCAATGAGTACTTGTTCAGTGTACCTGTCCAGTATGTACCTGTCCAGTGAATATCTGTCCAGTGTGTTTTGTCCAAGTTCGGCGGGGGAGGGGGGAGGGGGGAGGGGGGGGTTGTCAAGAAAAAATTTGGTTTCTCTCAAAGTTTAATGAATTACGAGCCACAAGTCTTAGTTCTTGTGTGTGTGTGTGTGTGTTTTAGATCTCTCTCTCTCTCTCTCTCTCTCTCTCTCTCTCTCTCTCTCTCTCTCTCTCTCTCTCTCTCTCTCTCTCTCTCTCTCTCTCTCTCTCTCTCTCTCTCTCTCTCTCTCTTCCCCTTTCCCTTTTTCCTCCCCTATCATTCTCACTCCTCACTCCTCTCCCTTGGTCACTGGGCAAGTGCCTCGGACTAGTAAGTGACAGGCCACACACCAGTATTTTTAGAACCCTGTCTTCACTATAGATAGACTAGGACCCATGCAAATGAAGTGTGTGTGTGTGTGTTTGTGTGTGTGTGTGTGTGTGTGTGTGTATGTGTGTGTGTGTGTATGTGTGTGTGTATGTGTGTGTGTGTGTGTGAGAGAGTAAAATTTGATGAACAATGTCATTTACACTCTAATAATAATAATAATACACACACAATAATAATAATAATAATAATAATAATAATGATAACCACCACCACCACTACCACCACCACCACCACCACCACCACCACCACCACCACCACCACCACCACCACCACCTCCACTACCACCACCTCACCTCACCACCACCACCACCACCTGTAGTTATAGCAGCATGTTACTCCCCCCCTCATCTATGCTGAGTGTGTTTTAATTATCTATTGGTTGGTTTCCGTTTAGCTGTATTTGATATGTATGACGTATGTGTCTCTTCCACGTTAATGTTCCCTCCCCCCTCTGTCTGTCTATCTGTCTGTCTGTCTATCTGTCTATCTGTCTGTCTGTCTGTCTTTGTTTTTCTCTTTCCTTTTACCCCACTCTCTCTCTCTCTCTCTCTCTCTCTCTCTCTCTCTCTCTCTCTCTCTCTCACTCTCTCTCATCACTCTCTGTCTGTCTGTCTGTCTGTCTCTCTCTCTCTCTCTCTCTAATTACGGTATATATCCCAACCTAAGTTAGATTAGATTAAATTAGTTTAGGTTAGGTTAGGTTAGGTTAGGTTAGGTCAGGTCAGGTCAGGTCAGGTCAGGTCAGGCGAGGAGTCCAAATTCCGGTCAACATTGTCGGAAAATAATGGCCGGAAAATAGCGCTAGACAGTGTGTATGGGACCCGGAAATAAATCAAAAGAAATGACCCAAGATAGATAGATATATGAGCTTTTAAGAACATACTGTGATCTTTGATATACTGTTACAGGTCAAATGGTCCCAGGCCTAATAGCCCCCTAGTTCTATTCTTCTTCCTAATAGGCACCTCATTCTAATAGATTTCAGTAATAATAGGCCCCATTCCTAATAGATTCCATTCTTAAAATGCCTTTGTCCGTATGGTTAGGTTAGGTTGGGTTTAGGTTAGGTTAGGACTGGGCCCCTCTCCTTTCTCCCTTCCTTTTCTCTCCCTTCTCCCTTATACTTACCTCCCTCTTCCAAACTTTCCCTTTTACCCTCTGCTTTCTCTCCCTTCTACCCTCTCCTCTTCCCTTATCTCCCTTCCTTCGTATTTTTCTTCCTCCCTATTTTGCCTTATCTCCCTCTCTCTTTCCCTCCTCCTCTTCCTCTCCTTTCAATCACTCCCCAGTTATCCCTCATATCTCCTTACCCCTTCTTCCGTCTTCCTTCACCTCTCCCCCCCCCCTTTAGTACCCAACCCTCTTTGATGTCTTTCTCCTCCTCCTCCTCCAACCCCTCCCTCCCTTCCTTCTCTAATTAGTTCTCTTGTATAGAAAATGGTACTCTCTCCCTTCTCTCTTCCTCTCTTCTTATCTCCCCTCCCTCTCTCCTTACCATCTCTCCCCTTACCTCCCCTTACCTAACCTAACCTCCTTCCCCCCCTCTCTCTCTCCCCTTACCACCCCTCTTCTTACTTTCCCTCCTTCCTTCTCTACCATCTCTGCCCCTCCCCCTCTCTTCCCTTCTTCTCCTCACTAGTACTCACGTGTAGAAGGGGAATCTGGCACCATCCTTGTACCAGAGCACCAGGAGGGGAGCATCACCATTATGGGCGTGGGTCACCAGGCAGGGTAGCTGTGTGGGCGCCCCTGCCACGCCCTCCACTCTCCTCACAGGCAGGGAAGGCACGGCCATTGACCCTTCTACCACGCCGTCCTTTGCAGATATCACTGAGGGGGAGAGAGAATTGGTGATTAGTGGTGGGCGTGGGTTAGTGGTGTTATGGGCGTGGGTTAGTGGTGTTATGGGCGTGGGTTAGTGGTGTTATGGGCGTGGGTTAGTGGTGGCAGGCGTGGGTTAGTGGTGTTATGGGCGTGGGTTGCGGTGTTGCGGGCGTGGGTTAGTGGTGTTAAGGGTGTGGGTTAGTGGTGTTATGGGCGTGTTGCGGTGTTATGGGCGTGGGTTAGTGGTGTTAAGGGTGTGGGTTAGTGGTGTTATGGGTGGGTTAGTGGTGTTATGGGCGTGGGTTAGTGGTGCTATGGGCGTGGGTTAGTGGTGTTATGGGCGTGGGTTAGTGGTGTTATAAAGTCATGTAATTGTGAAAAGGTCAAACAGGTCACATACCCCAAGGTCAAAGCAGGTCACACAAATCAAAAAAAGTCAAAGGTGGAAAGGGAGCGATGGGAGGTAAGTTGGTCGAGTAGTTTTTGTGCTTTGCCCTTTGAGTAAGATGGTATTTATATTTTGCTCGTGAATGCTCTTTGTGTATTTCTCTGATGTATTACACATATACTGATGGATACTTGGCATCTGTATGTGGGAGGGAGGGAGTGGTGTGGGTGTGGGGAGAGGTGTGTATGTGTGTGTGTGTGTGTGTGTGTGTGTGTGTGTGTGTGTGTGTGTGTATGTGTGTGGGGGGTGGGAGGGAGTGGTGTGTGTGTGTGTGTGTGTGTGTTTTATTTCTTCCTCTTCTTTATATTATTGTGACTCTTTCTTCTTCTTCCTTTTCGTCTTGTTTTATTTTCTTGTGTTTAATTGTTTTTATTTTTCCTCGTCTTCACGTGATATATTTCCCTTCCTCTTTTTCTTTTCGCTTTCTTTTTCACGCACTTTCCTTTCTTTATCTTCCCATTTTCTTCTTCTTCTTCTTCTTCTTCTTCTTCAAAGGAAAGTGAACTGTGTAAGTTTTAATATATTCAGAGCCTGATGGATAGTGTTGGTGGCAGAGGACAACACCCCTCTCTCGCTCTCTCTCACTTTCTCTCTCTCTAACTCACTCTCTCACTTTTTCTCTCACCCTCATTCACTTTCACACACACACACACACACATCTCATGACTCGCCCTGAAGATCCCATGGAGTTTCTTATTAGTATGGACCGTTCCTGACCACCTGTGACCTATAACCGCTTGACCTCTCTGTGACATTAATCCCTTTAGCACACTGACTGACCTTCCATTTTCTATTCCTTTACCAGTGACCACCCAAAAGTTTCTGAGACACTTTGTTGATGTTTTTCTCAGTGAGCATCTGGGTAATATCCTCCCAGGTGGTGAGATTTGTGGCCAGTTTACCTCTCTATCTATCTATCTATCCGCCTATCTATCTATCTATCTGTGTCTCTCTTCCTATGCCTTTATATCTCATTCCATGTCTAACCCAAACTTTAATATCAGCTTCAACAACAACATGTCTCTGAGGCTTCAATATACCTCACGAAGCTCTTCCCTCAGTCGTGTGGTTAATGCAATGGCTGTTTACATCTTAGCCCCTTTCAGAGAGCAGCGGCGCACTAGGGTATTTTATTCAGCTGAGAGAGACACCTGATCTACAGAAGGCTAAAAAGTGATTCACAAAGTGCCCGCTCGAAGCACTCTAGTGTAGTGTTTACTTGATGCTTCGAGACTCTTTCATGGGACACTCCAAGTTTACCCATAACACAGTGTCTGGTTCAACAACTGTATGTCATAGAGCTGGGACAGGTTTTTGAGGTGCGCTGGTTCATTGGTTCACTGTTTTATTGGTTTATTGGTTCATTGGTTCACTGGTTTATTGGTTCACTGGATCACTGTTTTATTGATTCATTGGTTACACTGGTTCATTGGTTCACTGGTTTATTAATTCATTGGTTACACTGGTTCATTGGTTCACTGGTTCATAACGTATAACTGCATAAGGCTTCGTGGACGGTTGATCAAGTGTCCTAATTACAACTTGGGAACAAGGTTAACAACTTCGCCAATCAATGTTTCGAAGCCAGATTCGTTGTTCACCGCATTAAAGTTTCGAAACCGCTTCGTTCTCTGTGTCCGATTAAGGCTTCGAAGCCACATAAATGGACGATTGCATCAACGGGGAATTAATGTTAGTTTAGGCAGTGAAGTGATGCTCAAGCTTCCAACACTTTTGGCTTCAGCAATTTCCGTGTGTGTGTGTGTGTGTATGCTAATCAGCTGTCTGTCTGTTTGTCCCTAGCACAAGGATGAGAGAAGAACGATGGGCGTTAGAGAGAAGGGGAAGGGATGAAAGGAGAGTGAAGAGGTAGGAAAGGAGAGAAGGGATAAAGAGGAAAGGGGAGGAAGACAAAGAAGAAAGGAGCGTGGAGTATTAATCTAAAGTCTATCCTATTTCCTCATTCTACACACTTCTCCTTCTCCCTTCATTATCTTCCCTCCTCTACCTCTTATCTTCCATCTTCTATTTCCTCTATCTCCCCCACTTTCCCCCCATTCTCTCCTTCCTCCTACTCCTCCACTCATATCTCCCATCTTCTATTTCCTCTATCTCCCTTACCTTCCCTCCATTCTCTCGTTCCTTATCCTCCTCCTGGAAATCAAAATATATCACCACCCCCGTCAGTAGGATCACAGTCTCACCACTACTTTACGAAACGCACTTCAGGAGGCACACAGCTTCGTCAGGAAGAACGCGTCTCTCTATATTACAAACACCAGACTGTAACGCCTCTTTTACTCTCACCGCGACTCCGTGTGCTGTAATGTACTGTAGTCACGTTACAGAATACTGAGTGACATTAATATAAGCTTTTTAGATGTAGGGTGATGGCGTCTCCTAAGTGAATACCTAAAGTAGTTTATTATTATTATTATTATTATTATTGTTGTTGTTGTTGATATTGATGTTGTTGTTGTTGTTTCTAGTGGCAGGTAAGGTTTCCGGGGCTCAGAGTTAAAGGGTCAACACCACCACCTTGGCCAGAGAGACCCAGCAAAAAAGGTGTTAATCTCCTTTATTGTGGCGCTGATCACGTTCACTTAGGCTGGGGAGGTGGTGTGAGGGGGTTACATCACTGTATTCATGACCAACAATACTACATCAATTCTGGTAATGCTACAGTTTAAAAAATATATCTATATTAGAGACATTTCCCGCGTAATTTAAGACTAAGTTCCCGCCAAAACCATATCAGCGATGATGTATGTATATAAAGCCATAATGAGTGACGTCACGGCAGACATCACCCATCGATCAGTGTTCAGCAACTACAATACTTTCTCCCATACTAATGACGCAGCGCCTCTCACCCACCGCCTCCACCCGTAAACAACTGGCACACACACACACACACACACACACTAAGGCTAATTCAACTATACCCTAATAAGAAAAATTCATTAACATCGTACATAATTATTGGAGATATATTTATTATGATTAAGTCTTGTGAAAGGCGTAAGGGTGGGTGAGGTTTGCGCGCGTCTTTTTTTTTTTTTTTTAGGACAACAATAGATGGTTTTGTTTACATTACAATCGGCTATTGACAGGTAGGTGCGCATGTGTGTCTGGTAGGACCCTCATAGGAAACACTACACTACACTACACTACACTATATAAACATAATCAATAACCCTCAAAATAATAACATAATACATATACATATATACATAAAACAGGAATATCCACAAACCACAATGACACACATATTATGATCATTTGTCAAAGATTCATCCTAAACTTTCCAATTACATCTACGACCCAAAAGGAGATTTATTTTCCCTTTAGCCGAGTTGATGTTGATAGTAAGGCTCCATCTGACGAATATTGTTACTGTGTTGTTTAATGGTGTGATAGAAAACGGGATGTGGGAGAGTGTGGGTGTTTCTGTCTGTCTGTCTGTCTGTCTGTCTG